GCGTATGTCCAGTCCTGCCCAACATGTCAAGCAGTTAATTATATTAATTTCCGCCCGGCCGGGTTTCTAAATAGTATTAAATCCGAATTTCCAAATGAAATAATTGGCATCGATTTATTGGGCCCTTTCCCAAAAAGTCAGTTAAATAAAAGTCGCTATCTCCTTGTTATGGTTGATCATTTTAGTAAATGGACCGAAATTGTTCCCTTAAAACGAGCCTCCGCGAAATTAGTTACTGATTCTATTTTAAAATAATATATTTTAAAATACGGGGCGCCCCTAAAAGTTATATCGGATAATGGTCCTCAATTTGTAAGTAATATATTTGAAGACATGTGTGCCAAAAACTGGGCATACGTCATTTAAAAATGGTCCCGTATCGGCCGCAATCAAATATAGCGGAACGGGTCAATAGAAATATAGTGAAAATTATCCGTAGTTATGTTAAAAATTTTCATAAAAGCTGGGATAACTATGTCAATGAATTTGCTTTCGCCCTTAGGACCGCAAAACATGATACAACGGGCAAAACTCCTGCTGAGTTATTTCTAGGCAGAAAGATTATAACACCGTTAGATAAATTATTTTATGTGCAACAAAGAGCCCCAGAATTTAAAATGGGTGATATAGAAAAACTAATTAAAAGAAGCAAAAAAGAATACGGAAGTAGCACAAAGAAAACAAAGCTCTATTATGATTTGAAACGACGGGGAGTAACTTATAAAGTAGGGGATGAAGTTTTAAAAATTAAGCATTCACTTTCTTCAGCACCAGAAGATAAAACTGCCAAACTTTTTTTCCACGATTTGAAGGACCATATGTTATAGAAAAAATAACTCACGCTGTAGTAGTGTTAAAAGCCAGAAATGGTGAAACCTGTTCCGCAAACATTGATCAAATCAAAGCCCTACTTCGATCGTAATAAAATGCAAATATTTTCAGATCTTTTGCAGGATCCGGCACGGCAGACACCGCAGGCACAAGCTCCAGAGGTGGAAAAACGACAAGTACAAGGGCAAGCCAATAAGAGGCAGGAGCAAGTGAAAAGAAAATTGCCCCGCGGAAAAATTGAAGGTAAGCAAGAAAAAGAAGCCGTTCCACCGTCCAGAAAAGAGAGCTCACGAACACCCCAGAATGAAGAAGGGAGAAGGACGACGTATGCAAAGAGAACCAGGAGAAATGACGGCAACTATAACCCGGCTCTAAAACGGAAGATCTACTCATCCGACAGGACTCTCCGCAGCAAATGTCGCCGAACTGCGGAAGGGCCATCAGCGGCGGAGGAAAAGTTACAAGGAAAATTTGAACGGCCAACAACGAGGTCCAAGCAGGAACACGACAGAAGTTTCCCGGTTCCGCCAAGACCAGCTGCCATCAAACGGCCAAGACCACAAGCAGAGGAGAAAAGAAGGTATTCAAGGGTGACCGAACTGGTGAAAAAAGGAAGCTTCCAGAGGAAAGCACTGAAGGGCGAGCCCGTACAAGAAGGAGGATAAATCACACAACTATCTGCAATACCTTTAAAGACTGGGCCCAGAAAAGGATGTCCGAATATCACAAAGATAAGTAAAATTTTATGTTACTTTGCAAACTTAAGTTAATCTTTCATTCTTACTGCAAGTGGCAGATTTCAAGAAGTTTTACCTCATGCGAGGTCTACCTTTATCGCCAAAAGGGCGAGAAATGAGTTGTTACCGATTTTCGTATTATGTTTTTAAATTACTCGCGCGTAAAACTAAAGTTGATGTATAATAGCGTTGTGTAAAGACTTAAATATTGAAAAAAAAGTTATTGTATAAATTTTATTTAAAACATTCTAGCAAGAGAGAAGTTTTAGTCTGAAAGACTTTTTGAAATGTAGTATTTCAATGTAGAAAGAATTGGCACTTGCTTTGAAAAGAATAGAAGTTAACAATGTACTACTAATGTATGTTTTCAAATGTGTAAAATTAACGGCATGTTGATATGTTCTTATATACAATGTGAACTGTTATTTTAAATGTTAAGAAATACCGTGATATGGTAAAAGTGAAAGTAATGTTAAAATTTTTTTTTTATTCGTGTGACTGTAAAAAGACTAAATCATGGTGAATATGTGTTAAAGGTTGAATGATGTAGTTAGGCTCTCTGACGCTACACTTTAGAGTTAGCCACTTTTAGAATAGTACCTCAGGGTTTAGAGTTGAAATTAGGGTGTGTTAAGAGGTCTTGTTATGTTGAATTTTAACACGTTAGTGTTTTGATTGTAGGAGGAAGTGTGGAACACGTAGACAGAAACACATTCGTGTTTGGTGTTCTTTTACAACACATGTCAGAGAGCACGGGGAGAGATAATTAAAATAGTCATGAATGAAATAAGAATGTTAAGAGAAAGTATAATTGTATATGTTACTTGCCATTTCATTGTGTAACATTTCATTAAACTAGTTTTCCTTCCAGATCTCTGGAAGGAACCAGAATTGAATAAAAGCTCCTGTTTAGATGCAGTACAGATGAAAAAAAATTGTTGTATATCCTGGGAGCTGCTATTGTAAAAAAAAAAAAAAAAAAAAAAAAAAAAAAAAAAAATTTCTTTCTTTTAAATTTTTTTCTAGTTTTTCTAGCGAAGTTATGTTTGTAAAAGATTGGCCTCGCGTTAGATTCTAGAGCTAAAAGTTTTCAACAAGGTCGTTTTAGACCTCAGTTTCAAACTAATTAACTCTGGCGGGAAGTATGTAAGGATCTTAAGTTTTACTAACGTTTATTTTATTTTAAATCTTTACTATCACTTCTTATTTTCTACTTCCGGCCAGAATTATAAGCGTTAAAGGTTTTTATGCAAAGTTTGTCTGGCGAACGCCAAGTATTTAAGTTGTGGCCTTTTTGCCAAGCGAGAGAGAGGAAGCAGTGAGTCGAAGCAGGCCGCTTACCTTAGAAGTTACGCAGTTGCTGGTTTGCCTTCCAGGCCAGAGGTTTTAATCCTCTTGATAAATTTAAACGTATTGTAGTGTTCACAGTCTCTGTACTACATACGCTTCCTGTTAATATAAGGCCAATCTTCCACGTTTATTATTCTAAAGTTAAATTAGAGTTTAGTTTTATTTTTATATCTTTTACGTTAGACCCCGAGTAGAGGGTCATTGTATTCCGAAGTACGGAAGTTATTGTATATAGAGAAAAATAAAGGGTTTTGTATACCCTTCGTCTGTATCCTGTCTACTTACCACAATTAGTGAACATAGCTTTAGTAAGCTCTCTGTTCCGAGTCAGGTCCTTGTATGTTCCCGAAGAAGGTAAGAAGGAACATTGAACCTGATAAAGTTAGGGCATTTTATAAATGTTTTAAAATAATAAAAATATTAACGAAAAAAAAAAACTCTTTAAAATGGCATTCATTTACGAATAAAATTAAATACATCTGATCATCGGCTATATTAAAGATTAAAAATTTCAATTTGTTATTTCATAAAAGTGTGTCAGCACAGGATTATCATATAAAATACACAACATACAGCCATGAAATTGTTGAAAAAGGCTTTTTGCGATCATTACAATAAAAATTGATCGCAAATTTGTAATGATCGCCAATTTTGGGTCTGAGGACAAGAACTTTTTGCATTTTCTAAATTTAATTTTTAATTTTTCTTCTTTATTTTCGTCCACTGGGATGTAGTATGTATTTTACGTGATATTTTGATTAGAACTGGTTTGACTGTCAATTATTTGAACAATTTCATTTGAAAAAGACTTAATTATTAAATTTGTTGAAACAAAATATATTTCCTGAAAATTAATTAAAACCCAAAAGAAAATTAAAAATTTCGACAAAATTGTCATTTCGACTTTTATTTATATGAACCTTCTTTCGCTTAATAGTTCCTCATCTGTACTTCCTGAAAAATCTTAATGTTTGACTTGGAATTAACTGTTTGATGTGCTGAATGGACTAAAGAAGGGAAGAAGGCCTCTCACCTTCAATCTGAGCATAAATCTAGTTGGTAAAACCCTGTTTCTGTTGAATTCGTTTATGTTCGTCCTCCTCAAATAGTTTTTGAACACAAACTATGGAAGAGGGGAGGAAATTAATTTTTTAAGTTATGTGTTGTGTCCGAATACTCGGGCCCTAAAATTCCTAACTATAGTATTCTTTGTCTGATTTAGGATCCTCAATGAATTAATTATGGAAAAGGCAAGAATACTGTTTGATTTTGGAAATGTTGCTGTTTGGGAACTTATAAGGCATTTCTCCCACTTACCTAGCGTGCCTTCGTGGTGTAACGGCAGCACACTGGGCCGGTATTCCAGAGGTCCGTGGTTCGATTCCCGGCGAAGGCAGTAGCATATTTTTCATCTTTTCTGCTTCCAATTAACCTAATGACTCTACAAGTGGCGCCCGAATTAAAAGGGTTGTGGATGATGATTTTCTGCACCCAGGATTTGGCGACTAGGTCCCCTAAAACCCTAGTCGCCCTTTAAAAAGGGAGTATATAAGGTATTTCTCCCACTTCCCTAACGTGCCTTCGTGGTGTAACGGCAACACGCTGGGCCGGTATTCCAGAGGTCCGTGGTTCGATTCCCGGCGAAGGCGGTTGCATATAACTGTCTGATATAAATAAATAGAACATATAAATACATATATGGTACACATATAAGTAAATAGCAAATTCCTACATGACATTTATTGCTTGATGGACTGTAGTAGATCATATTTCATGACCTTGTGTCTGAAAAACAGGAATCTAGTAACTAAAAGTCACAATCAATTGATCAATTGATTGTAAAGTTCTGAAAACCTGGTCGAAAAATAGGATTGCTAAAATAGTGAATAATTTATTTTCCATAAATGGGAACTTTCCAATTATACTCGCTGCCTGCATTAAGTAAGCAATGAACATAAATGTGATACCTGAACGTGTATCATTGTAAAACCTCGCACTAAAATGTTTAAAATTATATGCAGTTAGAAACAGCCATGTGTGATTTCAGTAAAAGTTTATAATATAGTGCATTGTTTTTTTCAGGTATTATGATTTATTGTCTAGATTCTGGAACAATAGAAGATGTGGAAGAAATTGAATTTGATGGCCAAAATTGGGAGGCTTCAATGAAAAAGAATCCACCTATTTGTAGCCATTAGGTGTATGAGTTTCTGTCACAGATTTTTAGAGCTGAAATTTATATTAAAATAGGTATTTGAGATAAAGCAATTCTAGATCAATCATTGATGCTATATTTAATAAAAATAACACTCAGAAAAACTAGAGTTGATGTAAATTCTACAAGGGAGATGAAATAATAGTACCTAAGTTTGAAGTTCTGTATTCAGAATTTGGAGGCATTCTTTTATTTCGTTTTGATATGTAAAACTTTATTCTACATGTAGTGCCTTCTTTGCTATGCTCCACTATTGTAGAATATAAAAGAAATTTAAAATTAAGTTAATTATTATTAGCAAAATTTTTTATTCCACTCTTTTTGCCTCATTTACATTATATATATATATTCTATTCCATTTATGCATCTGTGTAACTGAATGGTATTTCTTGATTACAAAGTGATTTACCGGCTTTTTTTTCAAGAATTTGTCCTAAAAATGCCACTCTGTTTAAATGTAATTAAAGAAATTTCTGTTATTGTCCATATTTTAACATTAATATATTTACGTAGACAACATAATTAAACACGATTTTTTAACTGGCATCAGAATACTGGGATTGGCAGCCAAAAAAAGAAGGAAACGTAGTCGAAAGAATGCAGTCCCCTAGATGCAGATTTAAGTGCATTGCTCTTTCGATTATTTGTGCGTGGCGTTGCACACTCTACGCCAACCTTGTGCTCGCCGATTGTTTTGTATGTGCTCGGCAGCCCGATTAGGTACTACGAACAAAAAATATTTTTAAAATAACCATTAATTTATATTTGTTAATTGTTAAAATATGGTAAGCATTTACAGTCATAAGAGATATCTCGCAAGACGTTGTAAAATAATTGATTGCTGAATGATGAACTTGATAGCGAACATGGAACCTTATTGCTCCATTCCGATGTTTAGATGGCTCAGCAGGGGCAAAGTACTTCAACGCTTTGTAGAATTTCTTTCGCCAATAAAGCAGTTTTGGGAAACCGGAAACGAAAGTTATAAAGAATTGAACGATAATAATTGGTTATCCGATCTGTATTTTCTCACGGATATAACTGTTAAACTGAAACAAATCTCCAGGAACGAAGATCTTCAGGGAAAAGAAAAATCCCTTTTCAATTGACTGGGACTGTAACTGCTTTTCAGATAAAGTGAAATTTGTGGATAAATCAGATGAAAGAAAAACATTTCGCCTATTTTTCAGAATTTATCAAGCCATATTAATAACCACAAGGCAATTGAAACAGAGAAATACTTGGAAAACCTAAAGGCATTGAAAAATAATTTTGAGCTTCGCTTCTCTGATTTCCATAAGTTCAACCAATATTATTATTAATCTCAAACCCACTTGCCGAAATTAATATTTCAGATGTATCACATAAAATTGGAAATATGTTTAACAAAAATGTTGATGTTTTGGAAATGTGCTTGTCGCAATAGGACAAAATGTGGTCGCGAGAGACCAAAGGTTGGGCAGCACTGCTTTACGCTATACGTGAGAATGTATAAAAAAAAAGTATGCACAAGTCCGAGTATGAATTGCGTCTTTAGTTTTAGTTTCAACGATTAGCTCGTACAATTCGTTCTGCATGTACAGATTTATCTCATTGTGAATACCTCGAGGCAGTAACTGAAGTTGTATGCGAAAAAAATCGAAGATTTCGGGTCAGGAAAACATCAAGAAATTGTTCGATGGCGATTTGACTGAGCCGTGCTTTAATGCTTGTGTGTAGTGTTGTTGGCCGTGATCGTATTAAAGTAACGATACTAAGAGCATCAAATGCGAATTAATTCCGCGTAAATAGTTAAACTAAAATTTAGTGGTTAGTACATTGCGTGATCTTTAATAATAAGAATAAAATGACTTACCCAATAAGGCATGCATGAGTCTGTATTTCTCTTTTAAATATGCATTTATTAAATCACAAAACACACTTTTCTTGATTAGCCTAGATAAATCACAAAAACACACTTTTCTTGATTAGCCTAGATTATATATGTTACAAAAAAAACTTCATTCATGAATGCCTTTCGGCATGTCCTACTCGTTAGTCCTACGAGACTCTCACAGCGTTCATTTCTTACGGTATACTGTAATTCCTAATCCTACAGCATCGATGGCACATTACTTATCAGCATCTTGCAAGCAGCTTAATTAATAGGCAGTGCAATTATTCGCGATAGAAGAGAGAAGATCTCTTGTAGATGTGCTTGAATTTGGCGCACATGGTCGTCACTTCGAAAATTCCAGTTATCAGGATTATATACGTTGAATCACAGCACAGAAACAATTTTTACCTCGTAGCATATTCAGTAAAGTTTACCTGAGTTCTTATATTCTTCGTACAAGAACATATTTTCTCCTCCATCTTATGCAAAGGAATATCAGCTCGATTACATTATGTTTTACCGTGGACGATGGCGAGAGCTGTGTGTGTGGCCCGAAGGCCCACACACTCGTTAACACGACGACAGGCAGAAAGAGAGAGACAAAACCAGTCCTTCCAGGTTTTATCCACTGCGACGCACGTGGCAGGGCGCGATAACGATTCAAGAATCGATAAAGCCACCGTGTTCACTGTGAGAATTCTGTGTTCTCACATTCCCTCCGGCCGAAGAAAAAAATTTGTCCGATCACTGGACAAATGCAATCCCTCTCTGCTGGACATACTTGAACTTTCGTCTGCACTACATACACATTTCACACCAATCTTTACATCAGTTGTAAAGGCACTACACTTTATCATTTCGTTGGCACTATATAAACATTTCACATTACATGCACACAGTTGAGCTCTCGTATGTAATATACACACATAATTCACATTAATTTTTCACATTGCTTGGGAAAAAAAAACACAGCACTTTAAACACTTTGTTATACACATTTTTTTACATTCCTAAATTAGTATTATTCTTTTACGTACTCATGCATGTCTACTCTTACCTAAAATATCACCACAGATGTGATTCCATAAAAGAAATTTTGACATATATAATTTATAACTCACATGTGATAAAATCAATTTATCAATTACTAATGATATTGTATTATCAATTTGATGTTACTCCTCTTAACCATTGTTTACATTATATCATTCTTTACATTTTAGAATCACATGCACTATTTCATTACTTAGCTACTTTTATCATTTGATCATATTCATTTCACATATACATTTCATACACCAATGTGTCATGACATTGTTACAAGCTACATTTGTATTAGATCCACTACTAAATTACATACCTTCAATTTGATTCAGCAGTAAGACAAGGAGATTTGCACCACACTCTTTCTTTTTTAATCTGCTACCTAGTAATCAATGATACCCTGCATAGTACAATTCAATTCTTCTGGTATCTGGACCAGCCAACTCTACCAAAATCGTGCAATTAGCGCTTTATTACACTAAATTAACCCATACCACACATGATCATCATTCATTATCTAGCTTGTACACATGCTACATTCTTATCATAATCACAACTTCTTTACACACTTTTTTTTTTTTTTTGTTTTTTTGTTTTTTTTTTTTTTTGTTTTGTTTTGCTGATCTACAATTTACAATTGTGTTACACTCCTAATCCTCATTTTGTGTTGAATCTATTCTTGAAGGCTTTTGTAAAAACAATTTACTTACGTGAACTTTAGTGGTTTTATTATCTAATTGTATTATATAATTATCATTTCGTAGCTTTTTAATGATCTCATATGGCCCCTTGTATTTTGGATGTAGCACCCTTCGATCAGTAAATTCCTGCATAAAAACTTTATCCCCTGATTTCAATTCTGGAATTTTTCTCCCTTTCAAATATTCTTTTGCACAATTAAAGTATTCATCCTCATTTAATTTTACTTGTTGCTTATCTCTACTCAATTGTTCCTTTAGTCTTTTGGAATATTCCTGGAAATCTTCTAATTTAAGAGGATCATTGCTATCTATGGGAGTATTTAATGTTCTACCAAAAATAATTCTGCTGGTGAAAACTGAGTTACAGAATGTTTAGCATTATTATAATACAGTTTAAACATCAGTACTTTTTGTGGCCATTCAAATATTTTGTTTGTTATTGCTGCAATTGATTCTTTCATTACCCTGTGAACTCTTTCAATCAACCCATTGGACTGTGGATAATAAATTGAACTTTTTCTGTGTTCTATTTTAAGCGATTTTAAAAATTGTATAAATTCTGTGGAACGAAAATAGGAGCCGTTGTCTGATAACAAAATTTTTGGAATGCCAAATCTGGCAAAATAATCATTTAAAGATTTTATGATGGATTGAGAAGTGCAGTTGTTTAACGGAACTGTTTCCAAATATCTGGAATAATGATCAATGATAGTGAGTACATAAAACTTATTATCTATGGATCTTGGCAGTTTACCAACTATGTCTATAGCTATCATCTCTCCAGGAGCAAGATCTTTCTTAGGAATTAGACGTGGCAGAGTGTTGTGAGGTCTAGACTTATTTTGTAAGCAATCTGAACAATTTTCTACAAAGCTTTTAGTATCGCTGTACATACCTTTCCAATAATACTTTGCCTTTACAAACTCATATGTCTTTTGAATACCAAAGTGAGGCACATGAACTGTCTGTAATACATCTTTAATTAATGCCTTAGGAATTAGAAATTTATTCTGGATACTTCTGTCTTTCTTTCTAACATTTACAGGTTTTAATTTTATCATTACTACATCTGTATGAATGTCAATAAAATATTGTTCTACACTTTCTTTGTGGTTATCCTGTAATTTTTTATAATTGATTTTATGTCTGGATCACTTTGCTGTTTACTAATTATGTTTTGAATAGACAAATTATCATTGGTCTTAAATATATTTACATTGTTTACCACTACATCCTCTGAAACTCTTGACAAGTAATCTGCTGGGTTTTTTAAACCAGGAATATGCTCCATCGTGTATTGAAATTCCTGTAAGTATAACAACCAGCGTGCTACAACATCTGGCTGTTTGTCAAGACTAATATGGAAAGTCAAGAGGTTTAGCATCCGTTAATATTATAAATTTTTTTCCATACAGATGTTCGTGAAATTGCTTTACTGATCTGAAGATTGCATACAATTCTCTCCTAATTGAAGGATATCTAGCCTCAGCAGGTGTTAAAATTTTTGAGTAAAATTGTACTGGGAAAAACTTATCACCATTTTTTTTTGCATTAATATGCCACAAATGGCTGATCTAGAAGCATCAGTTACTAAATACAAAGGTTTATCATTTTCTATGTTTTTTATTGTGGGTTTTTCTCAAATTAATTCTTGTATT